ACATATAGATCATTCATCATTCATCACAACTTTGGCCATATCATATCACAAAGCACTTGCTGCAAAAACAAGTTAGACGTCCTCTAATTGTTGTTGCAAGTTTTACGTGGCTGAAATAGGGTTCTAGCAAGAACGTTTTCTTACCTACGTGAAAGCCACAACGTGATTTGTCAACTTCTATTTACCCTTCATAAGGACCCTTTTCATCGAATCCGCTCCAACTAAAGTGGGAGAGACAGACACCCGCCAGCCACCTTTATGCAACTTGTGCATGTTAGTCGGTGGAACCGGTCTCACGTAAGCGTACGTGTAAGGTTGGTCCGGGCCGCTTCATCCCACAATACCGTTGAAGCAAGATAAGACTAGTAGCGGCAAGAAAGTTGACAACATCAACGCCCACAACAAATTGTGTTCTACTCGTGCAAGAGAACTACGCATAGACCTAGCTCATGATGCCACTATTGGGGAACGTTGCAGAAAACAAAAATTTTCCTACGGTTTCACCAAGATCCATCTAGGAGTTCATCTAGCAACGAGTGATTGGATTGCATCTACATACCTTTGTAGATCACGCGCGGAAGCGTTCAAAGAACGGGGATGAGGAAGGCGTACTCGACGTGATCCAAATCACCGGAGATCCTAGCGCCGAACGGACGGCACCTCCGCGTTCAACACACGTACGGTCAGCGTAACGTCTTCTCCTTCTTGATCCAGCAAGGGGAAGAAGAGGTTGAGGAAGATGGCTCCAGCAGCAGCACGACGGCGTGGTGGTGATGAAGCTGCAGTACTCCGGCAGGGCTTCGCCAAGCACTATGGAGGAGGAGGATGTGTTGGAGAGGGAGAGGGAGGCACCAAAGATGTGTTATGAGAGGCCCTCCTTCCCCACTATATATAGGGAGTCCAAAGGGGGGGGCGCTGGCCCTAGGAGATCCAATCTCCTAGGGGGTGCGGCCAAGGGGGGGAGTCCCTCCTCCCCAAGGCACCTAGGGGGTGCCTTCCCCCTTTGGGACTCTTCCCCTTTTTATATCTCTTGGCGCATGGGCCCCTTGGGGCTGGTGCCCTTGGCCCATATAGGCCAAGGCGCACCCCCTACAGCCCATGTGCCCCCCCGGGGCAGGTGGCCCCACCCGGTGGACCCCCGGGACCCTTCTGATGGTCCCGATACAATACCGGTGACCCCGAAACTTGTCCCGATGCCCGAAATAGCACTTCCTATATATAATTCTTTACCTCCAGACTATTTCGGAACTCCTCGTGACGTTCGGGATCTCATCCGGGACTCCGAACAACATTCGGGTTACTGCATATACATATCCCTACAACCCTAGCGTCACCGAACCTTAAGTGTGTAGACCCTACGGGTTCGGGAGACATGTAGACATGACCGAGACGACTCTCCGGCCAATAACCAACAGCGGGATCTGGATACCCATGTTGGCTCCCACATGCTCCTCGATGATCTTATCGGATCAACCACGATGTCGAGGACTCAAGCAACCCCGCATACAATTCCCTTCGTTAATCGGTATGTTACTTGCCCGAGATCCGATCGTCGGTATCCCAATACCTCGTTCAATCTCGTTACCGGCAAGTCACTTTACTCGTGCCTTAATGCATGATCCCATGACCAGACACTTGGTCACTTTGAGCTCATAATGATGATGCATTACCGAGTGGGCCCAGTGATACCTCTCCGTCATACGGAGTGACAAATCCCAGTCTTGATCCGTGTCAACCTAACAGACACTTTCGGAGATACCCATAGTATACCTTTATAGTCACCCAGTTACGTTGTGACGTTTGGTACACCCAAAGCACTCCTACGGTATTCGGGAGTTACACGATCTCATGGTCTAAGGAAAGGATACTTGACATTGGAAAACTCTAGCAAACGAACTATACGATCTTGTGCTATGTTTAGGATTGGGTCTTGTCCATCACATCATTCTCCTAATGATGTGATCTCGTTATCAATGACATCCAATGTCCATAGTCAGGAAACCATGACTATCTGTTGATCAACGAGCTAGTCAACTAGAGGCTTACTAGGGACATGTTGTTGTCTATTATTCACACATGTATTACGATTTCCGGATAACACAATTATAGCATGAATAAAGACAATTATCATGAACAAGGAAATATAATAATAATGCTTTTATTATTGCCTCTAGGGCATATTTCCAACAGAAAGCAATAGCAATAAAACTGAATGATCATCTAAGCTAACAGATGGGTCTTGTCCATCACATCATTCTCCTAATGACGTGATCTCGTTATCAAATGACAACACATGTCCATGGTCAGGAAACTTTAACCATCTTTGATCAAGAGCTAGTCTAGTAGAGGCATACTAGGGACACGGTATTTATCTATGTATTCACACATGTATTTAAGTTTCCGATCAATACAATTCTAGCATGAATAATAAACCTTTATCATGAATAAGGAAATATAAAATAACAACTTTATTATTGCTTCTAGGGCATAGTTCCTTCAATGTACTCCTCTACGGCCTCCCAGGGGATGTCTTTTGTCGTGGCAACCTCCTCCTCCTGATTAAGGCTTTCTTTGATTGGTGGCTCGTCGTTGTTGCTTGCTTCTCTCACATTTGGCAGTGGTGCCGTGGCCTCTTCAGTTGCGTCGTGTTGCTCCGATGCCATTCTTCATCATCGTCCTCATAGCCAGAAAACGAGATCAGATTTGCCGTGTCGACGCTGCAGTCCAAGATGGGCTGTCGAGGAAGCAATCCTCTAGGGAGTGGTTGATGTGAAAATTGCCACAGACCATGGGGACTGGTTCTGAGCTTATGGTTGGTCGATGTGGCTTGCTGGAATCTAGGCTGCTCGGTGTCTCGTACCTTTGGGCTTCAGGGCTTTGCAGACGTCCTTCAAATCAGCGGGTGAGAAGTACGGTTTAGCATGTTCGACCAAACGTCGCTTCCACCGCCGAGCTTACGCTGCAGGGCACTAATAAAGCCCACGCTAGTACGTGGCTCCCATGTTTCACAGCCCGGGTAAGAGCAGCTTATTCCCGATGATGAGGTCGTCGCGATCGATGAATCTCTCCATGTTGTGTGTCGAATTGGTGGCAAGCACAATTGGAGGTTGCTGCGGCTATTGGCGATGAAGGCGGCGTTGCCTACATAGATTGGCGTGCAGGGTGGGCCGGTGGGTTGATGTTAAGCCGGACCACCCCATCGGTGGTGAATGTGAGGGAGCTAAAAGTTAGGCTGTCCCTCGGCGAGAGACCGCCGGGAGACGGGAAGGATCCGATCTGAGATCGGTCTCCAGCTAGCGCCGCCCTTGCCTAACGCGCCAACTGGCGGTGCAAAACACCACCAGATCCCTCGATAGGGATCCAGGCGTGGCTGGAAGCCTGAGATCGGAGATCACACGATGGTTTTACCCAGGTTCGGGTCCCCGTAGAGTAATACCCTACATCCTGCTTGCTTTGATTATTCATGGTGGATGGATACCTCGTGCGAGGGGTTACAATGATGTTTGATGTTGCTACCGAGAGTTTCTGTGTGAGATTAGATGACCTGAATGTCCCCTGGCCTTCCCTTATGTAGTGGTGGAGGCCTAGGGTTTACAAAGAGGGTAGATGCGATCTATCCTGCTGCCGCCCTTGTCTTCCAGGGCAAGAAGGTCTCTGGCTTCCTCCTAGGGTTTGTTCTCCTCCTTGGGCTTCATGCCCCCCCCCCCCCTGATAGGTCGAGAGGTCGGGCTCCCGTGGGTGACCCACCCCCGGTGTATGTCACCGTCACCCTCAGTTTGCAGGGATAATGACGTCCGGACCGCCGAGCGGACAGATACAAGACCGTGTTAGATAGCAAAACACGTTCGGACCATGTGCTCCGGACTGTTGCGGACGGTTTGAGGGTCGGCGTTAAAGATGTCCTTACATTTTTTAAAGTAGTAGATATAGAGATAATCTGAAATATGCTTAAATATTCATTAATCTTTGATATATGTTGTTACTAATTATCAAAATGCATTTAGGGGTGGACATGCACTTTTAGCTCTCACCTCTGCTGTTTTGCCGACCCACCCTCCGATCTCGTCTACCCTACCACAATTTGGGAAGATATCAGGTGCTCCCACACCTATCATGCTCCTCCTACACCTATCATGCTCCATGATACGAGAGCTCATGGGGCGTTGGCTCAAACCATACATGAAGCACTTGAACCCGGAAGCATCCTGAAATTTGACTCGCATTTCGAAATATTTCAAAATTTGACTCACAAAAGAGTATCGTCATCTCAAACCATACAAACGTGTTGCGACGACCAGTATGTTCACGATCAATCATATGATTTCCTACCTTGTGTAAAAAAAAACTGATTTCCTACCTATTTTGCAGTTTCCATACATGAAGCGCTCTCCAATCTACGGGGGCCCGGAAGCAGTTCCCCTGATCAGCTCTGGTTTCCACCGACCTGCGCGAACCTCACATGAGACACATGCGCGGGCCCATCCCACCCCACAAAACGAAACGACAGAACCCGAGCCATCCATCCCCGCACACGCCACAATCGGACGGCCAGCACGCACGCGACGCCGGTGGAAACCCTACCGTTCGCACAGTCACCGCCGCAGGTCACAGCTACTAGCCGGGCCCGCGCTTCATTGACCCCGTAACCCGCCCAGCCCACCAATCAATCATCGGGACACGCTCCTCCCCTCTCCTCGACCTCGCCTCGCCTCCCCTCTCCGGCCGGCGTCGCTTTCCACGCCCTTTTGTTCAAACCGAGAAAAACCCGTCCATCTCTGTCTTCCCGAAAGTCGAAAAATAAAACAACGCGGACACGGACGGAGGGAGGAAGCAGCAAGCAAGCTGCGGTCGCACGCACGCCGCTCCGCCAGTTCAAACCCACCACCCCTCTCGTCTTCCTCTTCCCCAGCTGTGCCACGCGCTTTCCAATCGCTTCATCTATCTGCTGCCCCGCCCCGCCTCGCTCCCCCCAAATCGCCTCCTCCCTTGCCGATCCAGCCATGGCCGGCTCGATTGCCGCCCAGGCCGCGGTCCTCGGGGCCATCCTGCTGCTCGCGGGGCTCGCGGCCGCCCAGCAGACGCCGAGGGCGCCCGCGGCGGCGGCGGCGCCCGCGCCCGACCCCGGCTGTAACGGCATCCAGCTCACCTACATCCTCCAGGGCCGCGAGAAGATCCGCCCCTTCGTCCCCGACAGGAACAAGCAGCCTTACTCCTTCAAGGCCAACGCCTCCGTGCTCAACGGCGGTACCCGCCCGCTCAGGTCCTGGGCGATGCTCGTCACCTTCGGCCACGACGAGATCCTCGTCGGCGTCGGCGGCGCCGTGCTCACCGGCGGGGCCGAGCTGCCCTACAACACCACCGAGGATGCCGGCAACGCCACATCCTTCTCCGGCTACCCGCAGACGGACCTCCTCACTCCGATTGCCACCGCCGGCGACATCACGCAGATCCAGGCCTCCGTCGGATTGGTCGGCACGCTCTTCGCCGGCCCGCGCGGCCTCGTGCCGGAGCCGCTCCCCACCGCCTTGACGCTCGACGACCCGGACTACAACTGCCCGGCGGCGACCAATGTCACCGCCACCATGCTCACCACCTGCTGCCTCCTCACCCCCGAGGCCGAGGCCAACGCCACGGTCCCCGAGGCCAACGCCACCGACCCCACCAAGAGCTTCCTCCCGCGCCGCACCGGCGACCTCGTCATCACCTACGACGTCGTCCAGGCATACCCGACCAGCTACCTGGCGCTTGTCACGCTCGAGAACAACGCCAAGCTCGGCCGCCTCGACAACTGGCGGCTGTCGTGGGAGTGGCGACGCGGCGAGTTCATTTACTCGATGAAGGGCGCACACCCCTTGGAGGTGGACGTCAATGGCTGCATCTATGGCGCACCAGGCCAGTACTATCAGAGCCTGGATTTCTCCCAGGTGCTCAACTGCGAGAAGAAGCCGGTCATCCTTGACCTGCCGCTGTCCCGGTACAATGACACACAGATGGGGAAGATTGAGCATTGCTGCAGGAATGGCACCATCCTGCCCAAGTCCATGGATGCGGCTCAGTCAAAATCGGCGTTCCAAATGCAGGTGTTCAAGATGCCACCGGATACCAACCGGACAAAGCTCTTCCCACCGGCCAATTTCAAGATCTCTGGCGGCTCATCGCTGAACCCAGACTATAGCTGTGGCCAGCCAGTGCCTGTCAGCCCCACCGGGTTCCCTAATCCCAGCGGGCTCGACTCTACAACGCTGGCGGTTGCGACATGGCAGGTGGTGTGCAACATTACCACGGCCAAGGGGGCCAAGCCCAAGTGTTGTGTCACCTTCTCGGCTCACTACAATGACTCAGTCATTCCCTGCAACACCTGTGCATGCGGTTGTCCTGTGAACCGCCGGGGTCCTACCTGCAGCACGACTGCTCCATCCATGCTCTTGCCGCCGGAGGCGCTGCTTGTGCCGTTTGACAACCGTACACAGAAAGCACAAGCATGGGCTCAGTTGAAGCACTACAACGTGCCTAGGCCAATGCCTTGCGGTGATTTCTGTGGTGTGAGCATCAATTGGCACGTCTCATCAGACTTCAACAAGGGCTGGAGTGCTCGGGTTACATTGTTCAATTGGGGTGATGTCGACATGGCCAACTGGTTTGCTGCCATGGTCATGGACAAGGCGTATGACGGATTTGAGAAGGCATACTCTTTCAATGCAACAGCAGAGGGCAATAACACAATCTTTATGCAGGGCCTTGAGGGGCTCAATTACCTTGTGAAGCAGACCAACATGAGCGGGTCGGATTACCTTGTGCCAGGAAAGCAGCAATCAGTGCTCTCATTCACCAAGAAGCTGACTCCTGATATTGATGTTGTCGCTGGAGATGGGTTCCCAACAAAGGTCTTCTTCAATGGTGACGAATGTGCTATGCCGCAGAGGTTTCCGCTCAAGAGTGGTGGATTCAGGACCCATCTAAGCAGTGCCCTTGCTTGGGTCTTGCTCATGGCTTCCTCGGCCTTGCTGTTGCTTCAGCAATAATCTTGTTGCTGTTGCTCCGATTCTTTGATTCCTTCAGGTGGTTCCATCAGGGCCATTTGTAAGAAACCTTTTTGTTTCCGGTGATCTACCACTAGAAGATCTTGTGTAGCTGCTATGTAGCAGAATCAAGCAGCAACCATGAGATGAACCGCAAGAGATGCCAGGGAGCTAGCTGCTGTTGCAGGCTCGCAACATAGACATAGGTTCCCTTTGAGATGATGATATTTAGCTATGTACTGCATGCTTGCACCGATGTTGGTGCAATTGTAGGAAATGTCTCGTGTTTAGCTTGTGTCATATACAGAATATACCATGTTAAATTTGTTCACTTGGCTGCTCATCAAACCATGTCTCGTTTCTGATTCTGAAGCTGTCCTCTGAGGATTTGTGCATACAGTGGAACTAGTTAGGGCGTGTACAATGCATAGCCTCAAGGTGATGCCTCGCATGCCATGTAGGATCGGATATGACGTAAAGTAGGTTCGGATAGGGAAGCGGGATCCTTTTCAGGAGGCGTGTGCTTGAAAAGAAAAAGTGTGGTCTGGTGACAAAAGCTGAAAAAGTTGAAGTAAAAAGTAGAGATGCATGTGTACTAGAGTCTTTATTTTTTATTTCTTAATGAGGCTCATTAGTGTTAGCTTGCATTGGGAAGAAAAAATGAATGTAGATGCCTTAAATTACTTTTTGTCATGGGGCATATGTATCCATATGTCATCATTGTACATGCCCTTAATTCTCTGCACCGGAGTTTCAGTCGTACATAAAACAAGTACTGATCATAATTATAAGATACTCCCTCTCTCAAAATAAGTGACTCAACTTTATACTAACTTTAGTAAGTGACATGTTGTTTGCAACTTGCAAGGCGTTTGAAAAAACATTGGATGCTCCTCAGATCTAAGTACAATAGTATTAAGGCGCCTAGTATTAAACACGAAATATATGGATGTTGACATGCTCGTTACATTCAAATTCGAAAGATGTTTGGCGGTTAAGTGTACGTTGGGGTAGCAGGGGTCCACTTTAGTACCACCAGGTTTCAAACCGTTTGCAACCTGCAACGTTCGTGTCTGGAGCCGACGCCCGAACAGATGGACCTTTTGCTTTCTTTTTTAATAGCCACTCGCGGTAGTTCTTTGGTTGGATTAGAGGAAACATCACATCCTGCTACAGCACTACTACCTGCAATATTACGATTTTTTTACAGCAGGTCAGAAACTTCTACCTGCAATATCTCTACTTTCTCCTTCGGACTTGTTCAAGACGTCCATTTCGCAGCTGACTGAGCTGAGGTAGCATAACTGGCACGCACAACCGTTGCTTTGTTTAAGCGGGGTGAAGACTTTGCTCGTCTGAGGTTGGTTCTTGCGTGGAACAGCAAACGCCGTGTTTTAGGTAGGCAGCGTTCATCCAGGGGGGTTGCTGGAATTGTTTTTTTTTTTCGTGTACAAGGGAGAACTGATGATGACGCCGTCCTATCGCTGAAGTGTTCAGATCTGTATCAGGACAGCGTCTCCACACGGCATTACCACGTTTATAGTCATACGCATCAGCTTTTTAAAATTAAAATACCGACATCGTTCGGGCCCAAGAGTGAAGGAAACAGGAAAACAATATTGCTTTGCATACAGCAGGAAATAGCTGGCGGCTTAAAAAAAAGGGTTATAGGGCGTCTCAAAACTGGAAGCGCGACACGTAAGGTGATGAAAGTAAACTTCATATTCAGATGCAGGGATTCCAGCGCTAACATGCTAAGCAAGCAGTGATTTGTGATTAAATAATATGCACGTTGTGCCATGATTCATGCCGAGCATGATCTTGCCGATCCTTTGCTATTATTGCTGCATGCTGCTCAACATGAACCATTCATTTGACTTTCTTACAAAATACTGCTGGTTGCAATATGCCTTCATACTACTACATGCGCAGACGTGAACCAAACAGTGTGCGGCGATTTGCGCTCCATTTGACTAATTTTGTAAAAAGGTTAATAATAACGTGCCGCAGTTGTTCTTGAGAAAAGTTCAGGGTGGAAAGTGATCTCTTGTGCTAAGACTAAGCCAGACGTGCGACATTACCGCTATCACAAAAGGCGGCTAGGTGTACCTTTTTTTCTGCGGGAGTAGGTGTACCTTTTCATGTTGAACGCTATTTTTGTAAGTTTTTTTTAACAAAGTACAAACGCAATCGCTCGTATATACGCACATACCCTCACTCCTATGAACACACACGCACACCCTACCCCTATGAACAACTTTGAGAGACTGAGCCGGCTTATTATCTTGAGATTTTATAAAGTCATCATAGGCGCCTCGTAATTGACGGAGATGTCTCCTTCCGTTAAACACGCATCGCTGGAAATTCTGAAATAAATGCAGGATAAATGCGGGCACCAGAACTTAAACCTAGAAGGCTGGGGATACCACTAAACGCTATTTTTTTTTAAAGGGTTGAAACCTTCTAAATTCTAATCCCGCATCTTTTTTTTTGTGCAAGAATGAAGCGTCCTGATGAAGTGTCTTGAGGGGAGAATGAAGCGTCTTATGATTGGGTGTTCTAGTCGGGTGTTTGTGCATGACGGTGACGGTCGGAAACCGGTTGCGAGCGTTGTAAACTAGGTGCGTGTCTCCTCCCACGAGCTATTACAAAAACCAGGGTTTTTTACATCTCCTTTCAACGCCGCGGTCGATCTACCTCGCCTCATGTGACCTTAGACCATGGAGGCGCGGTGGATCTTGACTCTTCCTAGCGAGAAAGGCTCCTGCAACAGCGCCTGGGGTGCATAGTTCCAGCGCACGAGTTGTAGGTTGACTGACAATATATTTTTCCTTTTATCTCTCTCTATCTCTCTTTCGGTTTTTTCTTTTCACATTTTGTTTCATTTTTCTCGTGTTTTCATAAATGTTCTAGAAGATATATTTGGCTAAATATTTTCTTTAATCATTCATGTGTTTTGATTGCGTAGTTTAAATAAGGGTTCGCGCATTGCACAAAATGGTCGTGTAATTTAAAAGTATTTTTGTGTAAATAAAATTGTTCATATTTTATAAACAAGATGAACCTTTTGAAAATCTTGATGAATGCTTTTCTAAAATAGTTGAAATTTTCTAGAAACATGATGGAATTTATAAAATATATGATGAATATTCATAAAAAAAATACTCAAAGAGCATTATTGAAGTACATAATGAACAAGTTTTTTAACATGATAAAGAATTTATAAATACACCCCCAAACATTTTTTAAATATAGGTAAAAAATTAAATGCACAACGAGCCTTTCCTAAAATTAGAATGACATTTTTATACATGATGAACAATATTTTAAATACACGATGAATAATGTACTTCAATAATAAAACACGTTGCACATATTATAAATAAATGATAAAAAATTAAAAAAGGGGAAAAGGGAAAATAAAAATGAGATAACAAATGTGCAACGTGTACATACAACTAGCCCTCCAATCCCCTCACGTGGGAAACAACCCACGAAAAATTCTCCGATGGCGATAAGCGACCCATATGTGTTGTACCACTTGTCATTACTAGAGACATTCGGAGGTAACCTTTGCAAAATATGACACTTAATTAGTCATTTGAAAAGTTTATTTATCACATTTTTTTGCCATAAGCGCTCGCCTCAAGCGTAACGTAACATGGGCCGATCCAGTAGTAGGCAAGCAGATACCGATTTCTACCATTTTTCTTGCATTTTCATTCGGCTTTTCAGTCTCATTTTCGGTCTAGCATCTATCCATTTCTCCCTTCTATTATTTTTCTTTTTATACTGTTTCTTTTCTTTCTTTTTGGTTCCTTGCCTTTTCATTTTTCTTGTTATTTTCAAGTTCCTTTCGTTTTTTACCTAAATGAACATTTTTAATACATAATAATTTTGTAAAATGAGTTGAACACTTTTCTATATTTTTCTTCCTTTTTTGGTTTTGTTTCTTTCCATCACTGTTCATTTTTTTATTTTTGTTGTTCTAATGATGTTCCTTACATATTTAATTCGTGGTTTTTTTATAAATACATACTCCCTCCACTTTATATACAAGGCCACAAACTCAAATTATAGGTACCACTGTAAAATTTAATGTCTGCTTTGGAAGTCAGATTTTCTTTTCATTTACTGGGATCATTAATACCCCACATGCATGCAAGAAAACTAAGTGGAGGAAGTAGCTGACTGTCATTATGACTTCATGCATGCAACTATTAAACAGGTTGCTAGTACGAGAAAATATCATTAATTTTTCCTCGATTACTGTTGGTGGCCTTATATAGATACAAAACGTATATATTCTATAGTGGCCTTGTATATAAAAATGGAGGGAGTAGTATTTTTTGTAACATGATTTTAATCATTTTCTATTTTTATTTTCCCTTTTCGTAACTAGATTTCATAAACCATTTTTGTTGTTGTGTTCCTCTCATCGAGATGTATGTAACTAGATTTCATAGAGATATATTTCAAATAACTTTTTTATGTAAATTGTGCTTTCTACTTTATATACTAAGTGGGTACTTCCCCCCGTAATAATCTTGTACTCTCAGCGTTAGCTTAGTTGTGCTCCGCGTGTATGATATGTTGATTGTTTCATGCTATTATATTATCATTCTTGTATGCTTTATGTGTCATTTTATATTATTTTTATGGACTAACATATTAACTTAGTGCCCAGTGCGAGTTCCTATTTTTTTTGCCTATTTCTTTGTTTCGTAGAAAAACCATATCAAACAAAGTCCAAACATGATGAAACTTTACGGTGATTTTTTCTGGACCAGGATAGAGCCTAGAAGCTTTGGGGAGGCACCAAATGATGATCGAGGGGGTCCACAAGCTACGGTGGCGCAACCCCAGTGGTCGCATGAAAGCACAAGTGCTCCCTTGGTGGTTTTGATAATTAATGTCAACATATCTTTTGTTGGACTAACAGTTCTATATTGTATATTTCAGACAAGTTCAACAATGGCATTACAAGGACAAGAGGATGTGGT